CAAGTGATTGGCATACCAATGGGGAAGAGCTCGAGTCCCCCATTAGCATGCCTCATGTGTGCAAAAGCACGAATGGGACTTTATTGTTACACTAGGTAGTCAGAAGAGAGCATTTGCAGGTTTGCGCTTTGTCGATGACGTGTCAGTGTTCGCCGCGTACAATCGGAAGAGGAGAGGGGATAAGGAAAAAGCAATCGAGGTGTTGAAACATTTTGAGAATTGTTACGATAAGGCACTCACGCTGAAACGAACAAATGAGGGAGAGGAGGACTGGAATTTTCTGGGCTGTCGACTTTCGATTAGTCAGAGTTTTCCGTTCGTCGGAGTTTTGCAGACGATGAAAAACGACCAGCAACTAAGAAGGGGGGAGTCTCTACCTTTTCGGACGTTTCAAGATTTCGAATCATGGAATTGTAAGCAAGGGAAGATGGCGGCCATTGTCAGTGCACTGCATCTTATTGACCAGAACTCGCACATGGGGATTGAACTTCTAGACACTCTTGTCTTGCTGAGAGCTGAGCTAAGAAGGCGCAACTACCCCAGTCAGTGAATCAGGGCGATACTGCGGAGCTTCAGCAGGGGGAGAAAACCGATCTGGAAGCTGTTCGCCATACTGATGGATGACCGTGGTTCGTTGGAACCAAGGACAAAATGCTGTAAAAAAAAAAAAAAAAAAAAAAAAAAAAAAAAAAAAAAAAACAGGGCCACTGTAACGCCTAGCAATACTGCATCCATCTGGTTATCAATGGAAAACCAGCCTTTCAGAATCTACAAGATTTCTCTTCTTATTCTAGCAAATGTCAAAAACTAGCTGTTATCGTTTCCTTCTTGCATCACGCTAAGACCTCTTTACTACTGTTGAAGGCGCTGAACTGCCTTTTTAATTCACTCTTAAAGTTGAACTTCGGGTGCGTGGTTACCCCGATGTTTTTTTTTGACTCGGCGTTGATTAATTTTTTGCGAAAAATGGCTGGGTATTGGGACCATTGGATCCCGGTGTTGACTGAATGGGGGCGCTGGTTTGGATAAAAAAAAAGGAGGGTGCCATTTCTTTTTTTTTAACAATGGGGTCCGACGATAGGACCCTGGTTCACTTATGGTTACCCAATTCTGACGGTTCTCTTACCACACTGCCAGGATAGAGGGATATCGCAAGGGCTATTCCTGTCTCTTATACACATCTAGATGTGTATAAGAGACAGGTTGTGGACTCTGTAATGTGGAATCTATCTTCTCTCTGCCGTTCCAATTTCAACGGATGTCCCGAGGGACATCGGTATAGCTTTCTATTCTTTTTNTTTTTTTTTTTTTTTTTTTTTTTTTTTTTTTTTTTTTTTTTTTTTTTTTTTTCGCGGTACCTATTTGTTCTGGTATTAAGCTGGTACTATTTTTATTTTCTACGGGGTGTCGGTGCAATTCTTAGACCATGGCAATTGCCAGACATTGTCGCTGTTGAGAATTGCAGTTGGCATCCATGGAGATTCGATCTCTTGGTCTGTCGCACGAACTACCGATGGCTTGGGATTTGGGGAGGTTGTCGTAGGATCATTTAAGATTGAGGACGAATTCCTTCGCGTGAATAGAGATGCGGCTTCTGGTTGATTCATCAACTGTTTTTAGCTTTTGACAGACGTTTTCTATGGCTTGACAAAGCACTCTTTGTTCGCACAAGATAAATAGTACAGGACTGTCCTGTCAACTAAGCGACATAGACCCTTGATGAGTGCTGGTGGGCGGCCAGCCGAAACCGGTCGGGTCAGTACGCCGCAAGAGCTTCGGTTCTTTTGCTGATCATTTTTCACGTGCATCTTTTTCATCAGCAAGTCGCGTTTGGGAGACGATACTTTTTTAATTAAAAGACGAAACCAGCAAAACTGGCCTCCCTCCAATGGCAGATAGAACACCGTTGCCTACCAACAAACGACTGGCTCATAGACAGGACATCCTTGGAACAAAGTGGGCGGGCCCTGCCCTGGTGTAAATTCTGTTTTTTTTTTTGTTTTTTTGTTTTGTTTTGTTTTGTTTTGTTTTGTTTTGTTTTTTTGTTTTTTTTTTTTTTTTTGCGCAGGGGCCATGCTAATCTTCTCTGTATCGTTCCAATTTTAACGGATGTCCCGAAGGACGGTGTAAATTCTGTTTAGATTCTTTCCCATCCAGGAAAAGGCCAGAAACCTTAGAACATATCTTCCTGCAATGTCCAGGAACGGTCCAACTCTGGCGCTGGTGGGACAGGATTTGGGATCCGCTAGAAGTAACGACGCCCTGGCCATGGAATTGGCAAGCATTACTATTAGAAACTTGGAATGCGGAACAGGTGGATGACTTCACCCAAAACATGTTTCAACTGGGACGTAGGGCGGTGCTATGGGCGCTTTGGAAACGTCGCTGTACATACGAGAGGGAAGGGGTGAGGCTGGAAGGACCCGAATTCACTGAAAGCATACAGCAACAATCCAAACAGAGACAGAGGTAACAACCCGCTGGGAAGAAGTCAAAGCCCAGATCCGACACACACACACACACACACACAACAGGAATCAGATCAAAAAGTACAGGACTTCTGCGCAAAATGGCTCGGGGGGAAAGAAGGGGGAAGGTTAGGGAGGGTGGAAAGAAACTCAGGACGTAACCAAGAGGAAGAAAGGTTGAGCAAGGATTATCGACTGAGCTTTCACGAGTGGACCAAGGTGGACCCCTCAATTCCAATGAGAACAGCAGATGACTTCCCTGACCCCTTCCCCCCCCCCGACCAAAAGCCTGGTGGATTTGCGGTGGTACGGGTGTTAAGAGAGGAAAGGGGGAGAGTAGACAAGGCCACAACTTCGGCTTTGGACCCCACAGGACCGCGGAAAGGAAAAATTTTGCCGCAAAACTGTTTCCAGGAGGACCCCACAGCCTGCAGCAGATGTCCTCCAGGGACCGCGGAAAGGTGAAATTTCTCCCGCAAACCATTTTCCGGGACCCCACAGACCGAAGATTGCGGCTTGGAAAAACACTTAGTTTTGTGTTTTCACATATTATTAGTCCACAGCTGAAAAAGTCTCATTGGACGATTCCTCGCCGCAATTTTGTGTCAACTGTAGAGGGTACTAGGGGGGAGGGCGTGTCGTTCCTGGATGGAAAAGTCATACGGGACGCAGTAGCCAATAGCGACCAAGAGTGCCACAGAAGGAAAAAAAAAAGGACAAAAAAAGGAAAAACAAAGGAAAAAAGAACAAAACAAATGAGTGCCGACGGAGACGGGCAAAAATTGGCTGAACTGGTTCCCAAAGGGTTTTCCAAAATGCGCATTTGGTCCTCCGCGGTGGGATCCCCGCAAAACTGCTTCCAGCTTTCCAAAATTCTTTGCCCGATTTTTTCAGCCGGCCGGTTTTTCCATCCTTTTCCTGTGGGGTCCACCCCTTTGTTCAACTTTTTGTCGTTATTTTAATATTTTGAGAATTTCTTACACGTGACCAAATAAAAAAAAGGTTCACCTGTCATGACTGTCCTTTCTCTCATAAGATGCTTTCTCCTCATGGCATGGCAGGTTCAAAATTTCAAAAACTGAAAATTCAAGATTTAAAAAAAAAACATGACATGCATGTTCTGCTCAAGCATGGCATGGCAGGTTCAGAAAATTCAAATTAAAAATTAAACAAAAAATGAAAACTCCCAAATTGATGGATGCCCGCCCACTGACTAGGGTCATGGTTACCCAAAAGTCGATCAATCGGAATTCACACCATTCTTTGTTATCCCATTTTCCCAAAAATGGTACGCTTTGGGTGGGGTAGAAGAGGGCGAAGTCGTAGAAGCTAGAGGAGGAGGAGGAGGAGGTAGAGGAGGTGGGGGAGGTGGGGGAGGTGGAGGAGGAGGAGGAGGAGGAGGAGGGTGAGGAAGAGGGTGGCAGGAGGGAGACGACAGTGACGGAGAGGAGGAGGACAACGATGAAGGGGAAGGGGCGGAGGTGGAAGAGGAGGATGGCAAAGGCAACAACAGGAAGGAGGAGGACGATGACGAGGACGAGGAGGTGAGAGGAGGAGGGGAGGAGGGGGAGGACGACTACGACGATGAGGGGCAGGAAGTGGAGGAGGGGGGAGACGACAGTGACGGAGAGGACGAGGAGGAGGAGGAGGAGGAGGAGGAAGAGGAGGACAACGAAGGAGAAGAAGCAGAGGTGGAAGAAGAGCATGTCAAAGGCGATGACAGGAAGGAGGAGGAGGAGGAGGAGGATGGGGAATGACAATGACACTGAGGAGGAGGAGGAGGACGTCAACGACAATGATGGAGAGGAAGAGAAGGAGCTGGGAGGAGGGAAGCAGTGACGATGACACCAGGGAGGATGATAAGGACGAGGAGGAGGACGAAGACGGCAACTGCAATGACAGCAAGGAGGAGGACGGCAACGACATTGACAGCGAGGAGTAGGACGGAGGAAGAGGAGGAGGTGGAGGACGAGGACTCGTCGAGGAGGAGGATGGGGGGCCATAAGTGCACGACAAGGACAATGACAGAGGCGAGGAGGGCCAAAAGGAGAGAGAAGCAGGCATGGAGGAGGAAGAGGACGATGGCCATGGGGCCGAACAGCAGCAGCATGAGGAGGAGGAGATGGAGGGAAATACAGGTTATGGAGAGGAAGAGGAGGAGGCGGGAGGACGAGATGGAAGGAGAGCGATGATGAGGAGAAATCGAGGAAGAGGAGGAGGAGGAGAAAGTGAGTACGAGGAGGAGGAGAAAGGCAGGAGGAGGAGGAGAAAGGGAGGAGGAGGAGGAGGAGAAAGGGAGTAGGAGGAGGAGGAGGAAGGAGAACAAATATGATACATGAATTTTCTTTTTTTTTCTTGGAACCATCGCAATGCTCTGTTTAAATTAAACAGTCGGATACCCTTGTCCGCACCAGTTCTGAGTTGGAGATTTAATTATAACGAGCAAACAAAAAACAAAAAACAAAAAACAAAAAACAAAAAACAAAAAACAAAAAGGAAGGGTCCGAAGGGGAAAGGACGTGAGCACTTTACATTTAGCAGAGAAACTGGCATCTCTACAAGTCCCAGCAGAATGACGTTCGCATGTCGCAGATCTCGTAAACCCGATGGCGAAAGCAGATACAACACCCCATTCTCCACATCAATGGATCTAACTAGACCTGCGCACGACGAATAGCCAAGAACCTAATCAGTCGCGGTGAATGACTTATCAATCGCAAGTTGCAAAACGTCACATCCTTCATCACTTCATGGCTCACTTTTCACCTTGTTTTTCTTTTTTTTTTTGCTTTTCACCCTCTTAATCACTCTATAACGTCACCGTTGTCCATCAATGACCGCTTCCTTCAGCAGGTTCACATTTCGATTCATCAAATGAATCAATAATGAACGACATCGACTCATAAAGTGGACCAAATGCAAGGAAATGAGGCCAAAATCAGCACAGAATAAGTTGCAGGTTCAACGCTTTTTAGCAAAAGCGAGAGTTCTATGGCGTCAAAAGTCAGTCCTTGAGCCTCTCTTGGGGGGCGGGGGGGGGGAAGGGGGAGGTGCTTCAGAAAGTTCTCAAGGTTGGTAGGCTTGGCGTCAACGGTCAAATCGAGGCCTCTACAAGTCAAACAAGGCCCTAGGAAAATTAACTGTCAGACCCGACTGGGGAAGTCAAAAGTCAAAGACCAATCAGTAGTCAGCCACCAATCACATAATCCAAACGCTCAGAAAAAGTTTCCCGAAGCTTCCAGGGATCACAATTTGTGACTGTCGCCCTTCAGTTTCTGGCTGGGTTGGTTACCCTCCCCGCGTACTACAAGTGAGAGCGAGAGGAGCCATAACTAGAGTAGAAGCTGCGCCTAGACCATAGCTAAGCACAAGACTGAGGTTTGTGGTAGAGATCATATCCTGCGGGCGGGAAGAGAGAGAGAGAGAGAGAGAGAGAGAGAGAGAGAGAGAGAGAGAGAGAGAGAGAGAGAGAGAGAGAGAGAGAGAGAGAGAGAGAGAGAGAGAGAGAGAGAGAGAGGGGATAAGATACACCTGTCTCTTATACACATCTAGATGTGTATAAGAGACAGGAGAGAGAGAGAGAGAGAGAGAGAGAGAGAGAGAGAGAGAGAGAGAGAGAGTATGAGTGGACCAGCGATTGCTGCTAGAAAATCATCTGCGAAGCGGATGTAATGCCCTTCGGTTCCAATGTGTGGGATTCAGATGCGAGGCGTCTGCTCTTCGATTCTTGTTACGTTCACGGATAGTTGTTTCTATGAAGTGGTCGAGTTCATTAAGGTATATATTTGATAATAGGAGACTAAGACCGAAGGGCCGTCGCCTTGGGGCGCCTGTGGTCGCCTCGTCAATCTCTCCTGTGTGGCATATGAAAAAAAGCTTGTAGTCTAAGGCGACCGACCAACGACCTCAATGTCTTTGCTTAGAATTGTGCTTCTGTTTTTCAACGATTTGACTACACCATACAAACAACAATTGAATATTTATGGCAAGACGACTACCGTTTCTTAAACCACCAGTACCTACCGGTTGGTGCCGTCGTTAACGTGGTACCCGAATCGGTCTGCCCGTCAGGTCCATATTCATTCGACCTGGGGGGTTACGAAAAATGTGGTAGGTAATCTCTTCATGTAGCATATGAAAAAAAACTCGTAGTCTAACGCGACCGACCAACGACCTCAATGTCTTTGCTTAGAATTGTGCTTTTGTTTTTCAACTATTTGACTACACCATACAAACAACAATTGACTATTTATGGCAAGACGACTACCGATTCTTATACCACCAGTACCTACCGGTTGGTGTCGTCATTAACGCAGTACCCGATCGGTCTGCCCGTTAGGTCCATATTCATTCGACCCGGGGGGTTACGAAAAATGTGGTAGTTAATCTCTCCATGTGGCATATGAAAAAAGCTTGTAGTCTAACGCGACCGACCTGTGACGAACTATCTTTTGTAATCGCGCGACTTCCTACGCGGGGCTGCTGTGGGGAAACAAGAGGGCTTTGATGGGTGACGGGCATAAGCGGGGATCGATTGGGCAAGTTGCATGGATGCCCTCCCTTCTTTTTCGTTTTTATTGGAGTTTTTTGGGCCAGTGCCGGGAAAGTCCCGCGCCGACGATTGCGTGACCGCGCCCTAGCGAGCGCGAGAAATAATGGTTGCCATAGCTTCTTTCTTGTTCTGCTGAGAGCACTAGGAATTTTGGCGCGATTAGCGTGCGGGAATTTTCGTTTTTAAAATTTGAACTAATGTCGAGCCCCTGCAGGCTCTCGAAATTGTTTTTCTTTCGGAATTTTCTTTTGCAATAGGGATTTAGACTAGGAATTTAGGCACCTTGCAATTTGGTTGCACAACGCTTCTTGCTCGCACGCGCCGTGCCTCGACAGGGTCTGGGCTATGATTTCCATCCGCGCCTTAATCCTATGTGTAACTGTAGCTTTTGGAGGGCGCAATCGCAACTGTAATCTTCTTGTTCTTGATGGCCCTTGTGTTTCTCTCTTTCCCGCCTCGTCTTCGTATGCACACTCTCCTCCTTTGTTCTAAGTGGTTCCCACGTTGCATGCCCGGATCAATGCGCGGAGAGTAGCTCCGTCCCCCGCGCCGCGGCCAGGACGTGCAGACTTAGGCACTTCCTCTCTTCTCTTTCTCATCACTTGGGCTAATCCCGTATCCTTCGCGCAAGCATGCATGCTATAAATTTCGCAAGCGCGATTAGTTGTCTCTCTAAGAATCTCGAGGTTAGCGCGATCAGTGAGGGTCGGCTAACGAGCAAGTTTGGAAGGTGAGTGAGTATGAGAGTTGGGCGATCCGACGAGCTGGTGCTGAGTGCGCGGGGTTGATGCGTGGCCGCGAAGGACTGTGGCACGTGGGCGAACCTGGCTTGCACACTCAGGCCAATCGGGGTGACGACTCTGTGTGGCTTTGGAGATGCGGGGCGACGGACTGCCCGCATCGAGAAAGGGAGAGAGAGAGAGAGAGAGACGGGGATATGGTGGACCAGTGTCTTCTTCTCCCTACCTTCTATGTAAATTTTTGATTCCAACGTTGGTCGATTTTGTTGCGGCGCCTTCGGATTTCTTGTGTGAGTCATCTCCGACTATCTGCTTTGTGTGTATGGATGCATGAGGGTGAATGAACTCACATCCCCTCCTTTGAGTTGTCCTTAATCTCCAACTTTTTTTTGCTCAATTCCAATTTTGTCACTTTCGAGTATGCGTTGCGCGCATAACGACCTGCAAAAAATTTGGTTCCCGCAGGTTGGGCCAGCTACGTCCCTCGCGCGCGCGTCTGATCACCTGTTGAGTCGCGCATGATTGCGAAGATCACAGGGTGCGTTGGTTTTGGATGCTACACTAACTCTGCCCTCTTATGTATATGATGGTGTGAGCATGTATGCAATGATTAGTTCTGCCTGAGATTTGGATAACAGTTGCACGGAAAGACTAACTGGAGGCATATAGGATAAACCGACACGTAGGTAACTCGCTCATTGGCAACGTACCCGCACGCAGTCTTTGATTTGAGCGGTCGGCTCACGCGCACGCATGCGTAAGGTGGCCGCCTGCAGAGGTGACCTGCAGCCTACGCGCTCGCGTGCAAGAGCCAACCCGACCCCGCTCGACAAAGATGCCTGCACAAAATTCCGCTAAGTAGGATATGGCGATCGAAACTCCTTTCTGGATCACCGATCACGAGAGCCTGAGAGATCCGGAATACCGAGCGTATTGGGAAAGGGAACAAGTCAGACGACAACAGACCAGACGGCAACGGAACTTGCGGAATCCTGAGTAGCCCTGCCGAACTGGAAACGAGCAACTATGCAGGGGCGATTTCCAGCTGGCAATAAACCGAGACTCACGGATCCGGGATTATCCCGACAGTCGAACCCAGCATTACCTTCTAACCCCGGGCTTCGTGGCCATCACCACTAACTTCCCTCCCTATTACATCGTCCTCCCGTACCACCAACTACTCGTCGTCCCCTGGGAGTCCATAGCCCGATTATGGCCCCGACCGCCGTGCTCAGAGTGTCAGCAGCACGGCGAGTACCGTCCGACGGGGATCACTCGACGAACCCGTTCCGAAACCGAACAACGAGAGCGCAGTTCGTCCTCATCAGCCTCGGAGGCTTGCGTCGACCGACAGTGGTATGAGCATTCCCACCGGGACACCCGTAGCGCCCCACTCGAGCACCACACACGGCCCAGGCCGCGAGGTCGGCAATCACCCCAACTCTGAGCCGAAAGAGACACTTGCCCTTCTACCCCCGGAGCTTGACACAGGAAATTCCAGTTCCGACCTGGAACTCCACCCCCACTTTCCTAAAATCCTTGCCACACCCCTTTTCGCACTTCCAGGCCCACTACCACTCCGAAAACAGGAAGTTGCGTTGGGCGTGAGGTTGGGCGTCACAGACAATTGAATATTTAGAATTGTGCTTTTGTTTTTCAACGATTTGACTACACCATACAAACAATAATTGAATATTTATGGCAAGACAACTACCGATTCTTAAACCACCAGTACCTACCGGTTGGTGCCGCCGTTAATGCGGTACCCGAATCGGTCTGCCCGTTAGGTCCATATTCATTCGACCTGGGGGGTTACGAAAAATGCGGTAGGTACTGGCGGTTTAAACAACCTATATTTTCTACATTCAACAATCGTTTGGTAGATTATCCAAGTCCTAGCAATCCCTGCTATTGGTGGGTTTTGGATCTCTTGCTGGTGTTTGTTTGGTAATCCAAATAATTACAGGCATTTTTTTAGCAATGCATTATACGCCTCATGTAGATTTAGCTTTCTACAATGTAGAACTTATATAGTATGACAGATGTTCAAGGAGGCTGGCTACTTTGACATATGCACAGCAATGGAGCAAGTACGTGGGCGACCGTTAGGTTACCTGAAGTTAATTACGAGAGGCTCTAACAAGAAGAAAGAGCCTGCGCAATCAATTATGCACTCTGGACATTCGCGGCGTAGGGCGCCGTTGAAAAAAAAATCCGCGGCCTCCTAAGCGGTGCGGGTTTCGTGTTGACACCAGCAGGCCGATGTGTGGTGTACTGGTGCTTTAAGCTTCCCTACCCGAACGTTATGACTACTGACCACACTTAGGGACTGATGGAGAGTCCGCTGGGCCCCATCAATTTTAGGTTT